TTCAAATTATAAATAACTCGATATTCTTTTCTTCACAAATAAACAAACAAAGTTGTCGTACACATTATACTAGCATCAGTCTTTACTAAATCTTTTCGAATTGTTCAATATTTAAAACAATGCTTGGTTGAACGTTGCGAAACACGTTTTCTTTCAATAAAAACCTAGTCAAAATGAGTTTTCAAGGAAGAAAAAAATATTTTTCTTACACTTTGATGTTCAATATTAGTCTAATTACCAATCAGACTTATATAATAGTCTAGCAGCCTAAACATTTAGAAGAATTCGATTTTAATTTTGCGTTTGGAAAGTTTGGGTCATGGTTTTCATGTTGCAAAACAGTGCAAGGAAAAAAATATTCAAATCCCATTTAGTATAATTTCTAAAATAGTGCCAGAATTAACTTTGCTTAACTCGTACATTTTGTACAGATAAATTCCTGCAAGATTCTGTGTAAAACGGATATATTTTGCATCATTTCAAACAAAAACGATGCAAAATGCGTTTGAAAAGGAAACGCGTTTCACATTTCTCCGAATCTGTGTCTCTGGAACGCGTTACCTATCGACCGAAATGCGTTCGACATTATTATACTTCGGAAACGCTTCGAAACGCAATCTTGGAAAAACGCGTTTCAGATCGTTTCAAAAAACAACAGCAGCAAAACGCATTCTATCGAAGTAAGAATGCTGTGAAACGCGTTCTATATTGAAAAAACGCTGCGAAACGCATGCTCCAATCTCAGAAACGTGTTACGCAGTCCGTTTCCTTGAATATTTTACTCCATGGGCACATACAACTGATTCATCCTATAATATTATTGCTTCTGTGTTCGTTGATTCACGAAAAATCTTGACGCATAGAAGTGCAAAAGAAAGAGTTATTGGTTGCGAATGTAACATTGACTTTTTAAAGCGTTGAGTCTGTGTAAGAAACATGAAAAGGTAAGATTGTTTTTAATGTGAACTTTGTTCCTTTATAAGTTGAAAAGATCGTTTGAGATTCCATATGAATTTCTCAAAGGGTTTTGTCCACCTAACAGAGTCTCTTAATAATTTTCAGAGTTACCCGATAACAGAACCTTCATATTAATAAAATGCTCGATATTACGCAATATTTTAGAGGCTAACAGACTGAATACATATTTAGTAAGACATGCAAAAAACTCTCTGTCAACTTTTATTTTTGACCTTTAGTCAGCAACAATTCAAGCTCGATTAAAAGAGAAGCTCCAGCGATTCCACTAGCTGACATTTTATGACTTTGAACTGAAATCGCAGAAACTATCAAAAAAAACGTATATTAATAAATTTTTCTACCATCTAGGATCATGAAGCTATAATGGTTCGTTCTTTATATCTGGGATCCTAATAAATATCAAAAAAGACTTTTTTTCATTTCTTTCTAGTTTAAGAGATGTTAATGAGAGAATCAGAAAGATCATATTTTTATGCGAGTTGATCAAGAAATGCAAAAAACTCGTTGCCTTCAACTAAATCTCTCTGTGTAAATATTAAAGAGAAAATAGAAATTTGGAAATATGCCGTTGAGCAGTCAGAAAATATCTTGTTCGTCTTTGATATGTGAAGTTCTTTTTATGTCATCTTGGTCTGAGGTGCAATGCATGAGTATCAGTATTAGCCAGCACATGTTTAAAACTGAGTGCCATTTTAGATCACTCGTCCGAGTGGATAGGCCAGCGAAAAATAAGAATGTGACCGACAATTTTTTTTTATTTAATTAAGCACCTTACAAAAAAAAGTGGATTGACTCCATTGAGTCCTGACCACTCACAAGTTTCAAATTTTGTCAATAAGAAAAAGAGATGAGAATAGAAGTAGAAATAGGGAGCAGTTAAGTTTAGTTAATTACATAATGATTTGGTCGAGTGATGTTGAAAATAGGGTTTTACTTATTTTCAGATACAGGTTGGAGTAGACAGAAGACGAATGACGAATGACGAAATAGGCGTGTACGATTGAATGTATTTTGACGAGTATTAGTATGATTATGAGTATACGAAGTTCAGTAATTTATCGAAAAAGTTATTGTTAATATTATGATCGTCGTATATAGCAGCTATTCTATTGTTTGGTCTTCCTTGTTGAAGCCATGGAATACATGCTTTTTCTTTGTAGTGAGATGCGACAACATTGACAATATTTTTGTTTAACAAATAGCAGGAAATGAGTTCGGGTTCGTAGAGTTGAATGTTCTTGAATCTATTTATTAAACATATTTTATATTTCATCTCTAACGTTGGCAGACCAAATACATTGTGTAGATCAGCATTTGAACTTTGAAATAAGCAGTAAATTGTCCTTAGAAATCGTCTGTATGATCCATTTATTCGCTGCTGTGCTGTTGAAGATAATAGGCACTATATTGTAGATATTGAATAGATATGAGGCCATGCATAGGTGGTAAAAAAGCGCTTTTTTAAAGTAAAGAATGATGGGAATTGATGGTGAATGTATTTTAATATTACATATGCTCGACGGAGCTTTATCAATTGATCATCCAGTACGAAGCGAAACGAAAGTTTAGCATCTATGTGAAAGCCGAGGTATTTATAATTTGTTTTCTTCGTTAGTGCCGATCCGTTGTATTTAATTTGTATGTTTGGACTTTGTACTGCTCTATGATAGATGACGAATTCGCTCTTAGTGACGTTAACTGGTTGATGCCAGTTAGTGGCATATTCATATAATTTCTTCATATCGTTGTTCATTATCCGTTCAATATCTTTTATTTGATTTTGATGATCTAAATATATCGATGGACTATACGCTATGGCCAAATCATCGACGTAAAGATGTACGTTTTCAGGTCGTTCGAAGATTAATGGTAAATCGTAGTGCGCTATAATAAATGCCATTGGTCCGAATACGCTTCCCTGAGGGGCGCCGCGGTAAATGTTTATTTTTGAAGAGAGAACTCCTTCATAATCAATAATCACGGATCTACTAGTAAAATAATTTGTTATCCAATGTAAATACGCATCTGGACACTGTAGTTTATATAGTTTGAGTACGAGGCCTTGGTACCATAACATGTCAAACGCTTGAAGAAAATCGATAAAGTTAACTGGTGTAAATGTATTATAACATAATGATTCGGTTATGTTTTGAAGTAAATGATTAACGCGTGTCATTGTAGACATATGCGCCCGAGCGCCTGATTGTTGCCAAGGTAATATATTCATGTTATTCACCCATATGTTAAATTTTAGTAGAAATAGGCGCTCGTAAATTTTCCCGAAAATTGGTAACAGTGATATCGGACGAAGTTGATTTGTGGTGGGTGCTGGGTTGTCGACTTTATTGAAGCATACAATTCTACTTTCTTTCCAGCTTTTACTCCAATAGGCTTTTGAGAAGAGTATGTTATAAGAGTCGGCAAGGAGTTTCATATAGTTTTGTGGTAGGATTTTTACCATCTTATTGGAGACTTTATCAAAACCGGCGGAGTTTTTTGTTTTCATAGATGTGATAACTTTCTTTACGTCGTTGGCTGTGAATTTCAAATCTGATTGAATACAGGCATGATGTATAGCTTCAGGGTTAGCTTGGCTTAGATTATCCCATATTTGTTGTGCTTCATGGTCAGTTTTATTATTTATATCGATTTGTGGAGGTGCAAATCGCGCCGAAAAATGATCGTGTAAACAGTCAACTATTTCGTTTGAGGATTTGAGGATGACGTTGTTGGAGGTAATTGCTGAGAATTGAGTCGACTTCTTCTTGTTTAATATTTTGATCGTTTTCCAAAATGTTGTAGGGTTCGGGGATGCTACGTTTAATATGAACTTGTTCCAATTATCTGCTTTAAATTGACGAAGTTCGCGTTGTAAAAATTTGTGCCATGAGCGAAGACGTAGTCTGTCTACTTCCAATTTTGAATGTCGATATTTGTTTTGTAAGTGATGTTTATGTTTAATTAATAATCGAAGTGAGGGAGATAGTGTTGGTCGTATACGTTGACACTTATGCCAGATCGTAAGACGGTGTTTTAAAGCATTGAGTAGTTGCTGAAAAAATTCAAACCAAATGAAGGTGTCGGCTGTAGTTTTTCTTTCTTTACTCTCTAAATCATCGTAAATAATGGTTAAAATTGCCTGATATATATTCCAGTATGTCTTTGGGACATATAAAATATCATTATGAAATTCGACATTGTTGAACTCCGAGAATATTGGATAGTGATCGCTACTTTCGTATGGTAATGATCGACATTGTATATTGTAATCTGTCTGGGTTGATATTATTAGATCAATTGTAGTATCCGAGCGTAGCGAAGTTTTCATGCCTGCATTATGTACCACGAGGTTATTTTCATCTAGCCATTTGCTTAATTCATTCCCTTTTTGGTTTGTTTTGGGGCATCCCCAGTTTGCATGCTTTGAATTAAAGTCACCAACGATGATGATATTTTTGGACATAGATTTTAATAATGAAAGAGTAGTAATCGGTAATGGTTCAGTGGGTGGAGAATAGATTGACGCGATTGAATACGATTTGTGACCGATGGTGATCGTTATTGCGACTATATTGGGTTGATCAATATCGATGGATATAGTTTTTAATTTTTTATCGACTGCCAGGACGACCCCACCATGTATATTGGTACCTTCTTTTATAAATATGTTGTAAGAAAATAATAATTTTTCTAGTGTTTTACGTGGTATATTAGTGCCTAATTCATTTAAGGAGATGATCAATGGATGGTATTTGTCAATCATATCTAATAGTTCGTATTGGTTCGAGTAAAAGTATCGTATGTTGTAATGTAAGATTGACAATGGTATCGCAGGAGATTTCGGTTCTTTATAATGCTGGTGCCAACTATTGATCAATTTATCTCTCGAATAGGTCCAGCACCATTCCTGTAGAACCGATAAACCCAGTTCTGTTTGATATCTTGATGAATTGGGAGTTAATATTTCAAATTGACGAGACATTTCGGCGTATTTATAGGTATTAAATTGAATATTATTAATGTTAAGATTCATCAACATTCGAAAATATTGATTGTGATAATTCTGCATTAGTATTGCGTGATATGTGATTTATCTTTTGTTCTCGATTTTGTCGCATTTTTATTATTGATTTAGTAATGTTTGTTAATTGTTCTTTTTTTCCTTGACGAGATGTTGTAATGATTTCAGTTATTGATTGTATTGCTGGTATTAATATTTCATATACATCATGTTCTAATGTATTTAATTGGTCATTGTATCTATCGATTTTAGTTTCTATCTCGCTTATTTGCGATGATAATGAAGAAATAGAAGTCGATATGCGTGATTCTAGATTTGACATGGTTGATAATAATATTTGTTCAAGGTATTCATTTCTTTTTGTTGTTTGTTTTTCTTGTGAAGCGAGTTGTTGAGGTAGTTGTGATTGTCGATTGAGGACTGCCGAATAGTTGCCGGATGGTAGAGATGGTGGTGCTCCGGTAAAGATTGGAACCGGAACCGGAAAATCTGCTTGATCATACTGATATTGCAGATTAGATGTGTTTATTAATAGTTTTGATCGATTTATTTTTTGTTGTTCAACTAATTGTTTACGTTTTTGCTGTACTATTGGACAAAATGGGTGACCGGCAAAATGTTTTTGCTTACAGTTAGCACATCTAATTTCATTTTGGCAGTTGTTGGTGAGCGAATGTTGTTGTCCGCAGCGTATACATAGTTGTTGATTTGTGCAGTAGTTTGTATTATGGTCGTGACTGAAACATTTCATACACTTTTTTACTCGTATTGGTTGATAATATGTTTTGACTGGGAGTTTCATTTGGCTGATGTTGATAACCTTATCTTGTAGAAGTACTTGAACTTGTTGCAATGTGTGGAAGTCCACTCTGACGCTGTTTAATTTCGTATTATTTCGTCCATACATTCTTGTTAATTTAATAAGAGATGGGTATCTCTCTTTTAATTCTTCAGCAGTTTCGAGTTCATTCCAGTTTTTAGGAAACTGTTGTACGGCTAACGAATAAGATGGTGGAAAAACTCTTGGTAGTTTTATTTCATAATCCAATTGTTGAATCTTTTTTGGCCAGTGTGATTTTTGTATTATGTCGTCGAATGTATCAACGTCATTTGCAAAAAGCAATAAGCATTTGTTATATCCAAACCGGCCGGTAATATTCAAGTCTTTGTTATGTTGTTTTTTCCACCATGTGATTAGTTCATTTATCAATTGACGGTCATTCGATTTAAGTTTGTCCTTAAATTTCAATGAAAGAGGTGGAAGGTCACGCTCTTGGGCTGATGACGTCATTTGATTATTATCGTTGATGTTTCTATTTCCACATTGATTGTTGTGTGAAAAAGTTTGTGATTGTGAAAAGTTCATGTCTTGTTCAATTGAATTTGTTCGAGGCCGTTTGTTGTTGGTTTTCAAGGTTACGTCCGTCTTTGAGTTATTATCTTTCAGACTAACAACTTCAGGTGTATTTTTATTACCTTCCATGCTGAGTGATAAGAAAATACTCAGAGAGACGCTTTAATGATATACGTGTGGGTCAGAAAAGCAGTGAGAAGAAAAATGCGTCTGATCAGTAGCTGGTCAAACAGGCGAATGATGAATGTGACAGACAATACAAACACACTGATAAACAAATATATTGATTCATGGACGTTGAAACATCTGAAAGATGACATGAAAGCCACAGATGAAGAGGTAATCTATTTTGCTAGATTATCGAAACTCCAAAATCAAACACCCAAACTAATGTGGAATGATGTTGCTGATAATCCATCAGTGGTAATTGACGACTTTCTCTATCATAGCGATATAGACCATGCTAGTAACATGAACCTACTTATGAATCTCGGCATTCGACATATCGTGAACATCTGTCATGAACCATTGGAAACAGAAATCACAAAGAATTTCAATGTTTTATGGATCAGTATAGACGATGATGATGTCAATATCAATCAATATTTTCAACAAACGAATGACTTTTTGCTTTCGTGTAAGGAAAAGAAGGAAAAAGTATTGGTTCACTGTCAGATGGGTATTTCTCGGTCATCCTCCATCGTTCTCGCCTATCTAATGAAGTAAGATTTATTTTTTTGTTCAAAGTTGACCAAATATTTCATTTTAGATATCATCATGATAGTTTGATAAAAGCTTACGATTATTTGCTCGATCGGCGTCCTATATGTTCACCAAATTCTGGTTTTCTTATGCAACTGATTCGATACGAGAAGGCATTGTGCAATGGTGGAACGATTGATGAACAACAAAATAATGATGACAAACAAAATCCAATCAAACCACTCCATATACCGAGTGATCCTAACGTTGAATAGCCGTTGGTGTAGAAAGGAAAAGAAGACTTTATCTAATTTTTCGTTTTTTGAAAGCTTAGATAAACTATCCATCATGTTGGCGATCGCAGTCTTAAAGGAACTTATTGTTGTAATCATGATCAGCAGAAAACAAAAAATCAATCATTCAATTCAGAAATAAAAAACTAAACTATAGGAAGTGCTGAATATTTTATGTGAACAAAAATGAGTGTTATTGGGTGTGAGCGTTGGCCTGTGGGTGTCGGTTTGGGGTGTGAGGGTGTGGATGTGGGGTATGAGTGTGGATGTGGATATGGATTACCTCTTTACTCACACCCATATCCTCATTTTTTCCGTCGATTTTCATTCTCCCGCCGACAATCTATACGACCTTAAAAAATTCAAACATTATCTTTCTCCTATCACAAAGCATTTTAACACTTTTCTAACTAATCTTTCTGCAGAAAACCATGATTATTCTACTCGATTTTCCTCTTTCTACTAGAGATCACCTGTATATTTGATGGGTGACAATATATCTTTCTTCGGTACTAAATCATTTCAACACTATTTTCAGCCACCTGTTCGCTAAAAAAGATCGTTATTCTGCTTCATTTTCATTCTTTTTCTGGGCATGGCCTGTATATTTGATGAGTGACAATATTTCTTTCTCGTGTATTAAATCATTTTAACGCTATTGCTAGCAAGACTCTCGATTGTTTTTGAGAGTGGGGGGGGGGGGGGGGGCGGCTACAGTTTTTTTTCTTTTCCCAGACACTTCACAAAAACTTGGCAGACAGTCACTTATTTTTTTAGGAACTTTCCGATTTTTCATTAAAAGTGATGACCAGGGAGGGGGGAGGTAGCGCGACGAAGATACCCCTACCCCTCTCCAGGGCTAAGTAAAATCTTCGGAAAAATTGTCTCAAAACAAAAATTTTTCACCGCTAATATTATCTCGTGATCAATCGACTGCAGCCGTAAAATTAAATTTTGCAGACTATATTACACATTTTTGCCAGACAGTATTAAAAATTTTCGCAGACGCACTGCAAAAATGGGGGGGACTAGCCCATCCCAGCCCCCCCCCCCCCCCCACATCGAGAGCGCTGATTGCTAGCCATCTGTCTGCTAAAAAAATCATTATTCCACTAGATTTTCATTTTTCTGCTGGAGATCGCCTTTATATTTGACAAGTGACAACATATTTTTCTCGTGTACTAAATCATTTTAACACTATTGCCAGCCATCTGTCGCTGAAAAAGAGCATTTTTTCTTTGGTTTGCGCTCCATCCAGTTTAGTAATGACTAACTTTCTCTTTGTGTTTTGTTCGAGGGAAAGCGCTATTTTTTATCTGAAGATCATTTTTTTTGCTACAAATCATTATTTTTGCAACCGTTGAAAACGGTGCCCCAGCCTCGTCGAAGTATCGTTTTTCTACTGATTACACTGTAACTACTGATAATCACGTTTAGTCTTTTGTTGGTTCGTCGTTAATAAGTGGAAGTTCATTCTACCATTTCAAAACTAAGTTCGGAAAATGTTTAACACAGTAAGCGATGGAAGGGCAAGATGACGTCATACAAGTTGACTGATCAAAATACAAGCACACACGTTTCTTTGCATTGAACCTGAAAGATGTTCCCACATACATGTCCTCATCGATAATACCATTAGTGTTGGATGTTTTAACTGTTTTCATCACTATCCAACCACAAAACATTGCTCGAGAAAAGCGAATCGAAGATCAAATGATCGCCAGAAAACAACAAATTGAAGATCGAAACATATCGTTTCAGCAGCTTCAGCAAGAGCTGCAAAGTGACAAACTAGATCGTGACAACCAGGTAAGCACTATTGGTGAACGATATCAAGATGAAGGTGATTGTGGGTGTGAGGTATGAATGTGGTGTGGGAGTGGGGTGTTGGTATGGGTGGGGTGTGGGTGGGAGTGGGAGTGGGTATGGCTATGGGGTGGGTCTGGATGTAGAGAACAACTACAAACGCACTCACATCCACACCCACGCCCACGCCCACGTCCACCAACATCCATCCACAACCACACTCACCCACACCCATATCCACCTACGCCCACACCCACACCTGAATCTGAGGTCAGTTTTTACATGTGAAAAAGGTTGACGAAAGTAAATCGGAGTCGGAAAATTCGAATCTGAAGTAAGTTTCTCAAAATTTTGAGTTGAATTTTTTCCGTCATGGTAATGGCTTTTTTAGACAATAAATGATGCTTTAGAAAAGTTGGTGAGCCTAAATTGACGTTCGGACATTCAAGTATTTAGTATATTGGTGGAAGTTTGCAGCTATAGTTTTATAATCAGGGTTAGGTTTTTATGGAAACACTGAGTTTTCGGTGTACTGAACATTGAATGGTATGAAATAAAATGAGCCAGTGATCTGGCAGTGATGAGGAGAGTAACGTATCCAGATGTACCAGTGGGATTAGAGACGTAGCAATCTCACTAACATGAACTATATCTGAGGTGTTTCCACGGTGTGGGTATGGGGTGTGGATGTAACGCAGAACAAGATCAACCCATTCAAGCACATGCTTATACCGACACCGATACCCACACCAAAAAGTATCCCTAATACCCAAATTCATGTTTAGTTCAATTCGACATGATCAGTATATAAGCCTACTCGCATCACGCTTTGTGAAACTCACGTATATTTTCGAAGACAATAGTGAGTGCAAGTTTTAAATCGAAGCTTTGCGGCTTCTCCCATCCCCCATAGGCCCTAGCAACCAAAATGGCGGGAAATTAAGAACTTTCCCAAACGTCTCCATAGCAACGATTCCTAGCAACCATATGACGCGAAACCATACATTATTGGGTATGTTTCCATCGCAACCGTTATCTCCCTCCCCGCCCTCATTACAGACCATTACAAACAAATTAACTAGTTAGCTAATTAGGGAAATTATGAGTCAATTAATTAATAATCAATTAAAAATTTTCTTAATATTTAATATTTTTAAATATATTTTCAGTATTTATTAATATTTATTATTTTGCATTTATAAATATCCATTACTATCTATTATTTAATATTTAGCATTAAAAATATTAAATTTTTAACAATGTTTAATATTTCATTATTAAGCCCTTATTGAGCCGTGGTGGGCCGTCATAGGCACATTGAGATCCTGTTACAGGTGGTTACAGACACATTAGGACACCGTTACAAAGCGTGACAGACGACATCCGCAGACTATTATAGACACCATATCACTACGACCTGCTAAGAACGTATGAGCTATATCTTTATTGCAGTTCTAAAGGATTCTGTAAAGGATGATGAAGAAATCCCTCCATAAATGGATCGAATGAGGTCGTTTGTATGTGGTAAGTGACAGTAATCGGATCACGTTGCGCGTTTTAATCTCACCTGGATTGCACTAACAGCTTTTTGATAAGGGGGAATGA